GCCAGGGGGTTCAGCAGCTGCACTGCCAGAGGGGTTTGGGGGTGCTGAGGGGCTCCGGGCTGCGGGGAGGGTTTTGAGGTCACCCCATGGTGCCCCCAGATTTTTGGGGGTCAGCCCATGGTGTCCCCATTTCCCCTGGGGTCATCTCATAGTGTCCCCAGTTTTTTGAGGGTCACCCCATGGTGTCCCCAGTTTTTCGGGGGTCATCCCATGGTGTCCCCATTTCCCCCGGGGACATCCATGGTGTCTCTGGTTTCACTGGGGGTCAGCCCAGGGTCCGCCTGGTTTTTCTGGGCGCTCTGCTCCTCCCCGTGGTGGTTCCAGTTGTGCCGGGGGTCCTGCCTTGGTCCCCCTCGGTTTTCCGTGGTCACCGCAGCTTGGCCGGGATCGTGGCACTGCTGGAGCGGGGGGTGCCCCGCTGAGCCCCATCCCCTCCCGGGGCTGACCCCCTGTCCCCGTGTCCCCCAGGATGTGGCAGCTGGGGCTCCCCTGGGCGCTGGCCCTGCTGCTCACCGCGGCCAGTTCCGGCCCCTCGGCGGAGCCCGCGGACCCCGCGTCCATCTTCGCCGACCTGTCCCCGGCGGAGCTGCGGGCCGTGCGGGCCTTCCTGATGGAGCGGCCGGAGCTGGGGCTGTCCCCGAGCCGGGGAGGGCCCCTGGCCAAGAACTCGCTGTTCCTGGTGGAGCTGCTGCCGCCCAAGAAGCGCTCGGCGCTGCGGTTCCTGGAGCACGGCGGGGCGCGCCCGCGGCGCGAGGCTCGGGCCGTCATCTTCTTCGGGGCGCAGGCGGAGCCCAACATCACCGAGCTGGCCGTGGGGCCGCTGCCGCGCCCCAGCTCCTACCGGCCCCTGCCCTTCAAGGGCGGCCGCGCCGTGCCCTTCTGGGCGCGCCCCATGACCCGGCTGGAGTACGAGCTGCTGCACGAGGCGCTGGTGGCCGCCCTGGCCCCGCTGGAGCCGCTGCTGCGCGAAGCCACCGGCTTCGGCTTCCAGAACTGCTCGGAGCGCTGCCTGACCTTCTCGGACATCGCCCCGCGCGGGCTGGGCCCCGGCGAGCGCCGCACGTGGCTGGTGATCCAGCGCTTCGTGGAGGGCTTCTTCCTGCACCCCGCGGGGCTGGAGGTGCTGCTGGACCACCGGGACCCCGACCCGCGGCGCTGGGCCGTGCTGCGGCTCTGGTACAACGGGCGCTACTTCGGCAGCGTGCGGGAGCTGGCCGAGAGCCACGCGCGGGGCGCGCTGCCCCTGGCCCGCCTGCCCGAGCCGCCCGCCCGCCAGCTCTTCTCCAGCTACGAGCCCCGCGGGCGCTTCTCCAGCGGGACGCCCACCGAGGTGCACGGCGCCAAGGTGTGCGAGCCGCAGGGCCGGCGCTACCGCCTGCGCGGGAACCGGCTGGAGTACGGCGGCTGGAGCCTGGCCTTCCGCCTGCGCTCCTCGGCCGGCCTGCAGCTCTTCGACGTGCGCTTCGACGGCGAGCGGGTGGCCTACGAGCTGAGCGTGCAGGAGGCCATCGCCTTCTACGGCGGCCACTCGCCCGCCGCCATGCAGACCAAGTACATGGACGCGGGCTGGGCCATGGGCGCCTCCAGCTACGAGCTGGCCCGCGGCGTGGACTGCCCCGAGACCGCCGCCTTCCTGGACGCCCACCACCTCCTGGACGCCGACGGCCCCGTGCGCTTCCCCCGCGCCCTCTGCGTGTTCGAGCTGCCCACGGGCGTGCCCCTGCGCCGCCACTTCGACAGCGACTTCCAGGGCGGCTTCCACTTCTACGCGGGGCTGGAGGGGCGGGCGCTGGTGCTCAGGACCACCTCCACCGTCTACAACTACGACTACATCTGGGACTTCCTGCTCTACCCCAACGGCGTCCTGGAGACCAAGGTCCACGCCACCGGCTACATCCACGCCACCTTCTACACGCCCGAGGGCCGGCGCTACGGCAGCCGCGTGCACAGCCACCTCCTGGGCAACATCCACACGCACCTGGTGCACTACAAGGTGGACCTGGATGTCGCAGGTGAAGGCTCCCGACACCCCCTGGCTGTGGGGAGGGCGCTGGGAAAGAGGCTGGACCCACGGGGGGCTCCGGGGGCTCAGGTGCCTTGTTTCTGGAAGGGTGGCGTCACCCGGGTGTCACCCGCACCCTGAGATGGTGATCCCCTCCGTGGTGGCATCTCTGCGGGGTCACACCCCTCCGTGGTGGTGGGATCTCACAGCCCTGGTGACATCCGGGGTTCCAGCCCTCTATGGCATCTCTGCAGGGTCCCAGCCCCCCATGGGTGATGGCATCTGCCTGGGGTCCCAGCCCCTCATGGTGACATCTCTGTGCAATCCCAGTTCCCCAGGGTGATATTTTCCAGGCCACATCCACGGTAGCATCTCCTGGCGTCTCAGTCCCCTGTGGTGGTGGTGGTGGTGGTGGCATCTCCAAGGTGTCCCCAGCCCCCTGTGGTGGTGGCATCTCCAAGGTGTCCCAGCTTTCCATGGTGGCATCTCCTCAAAGGCCCTCCTCTCCATGCTGGTGTACCAAACTGGCCCCAGCCCACCATGATGGCTTGGTTGTAGGGTCACAGACTTCCATGGGGGTGGCATCCCAGCCCTCCATGCTGGCATCTCCATGAGGTCCCAGTCCACATTCACGGTGCCACCCCTGCGGTGTCCCACCCTCACCCTGGGGTGGGGCTGTGCCACCGTGTCCCCTCCACCGACGCGCGGTCCCCGCAGGCTCCGGGAACAGCTTCGAGACCATGGACATCCGCTTCGAGAACATCTCCAACCCCTGGAGCGCGGGGGCGCGCGTGGTGCAGCCCTGGCTGCACCGGGAGCCGCGGCGGCGGGAGCGCGAGGCCGCGCTGCCGCTGCACCGGCCCGCGCCGCGCTACCTGCTCTTCTCCAACCCGCGCCGGCGGAACCGCTGGGGCCACCGCCGCACCTTCCGCCTGCAGCTCAGCTCCCACGCCGGGCCCGTGCTGCCCCGCGGCTGGCAGGAGGAGCGCGGCATCACCTGGGCCAGGTGGGCACCGGGGGCGTCTGCAGGGAGGGATGGGGCTCCCGTGTCACCAGCGTGTCACCGGCGGGCGCACGGCGTCCTTGCCCTGGTCACGCCTCTCCCTGCTGGCACCTCCCCATGCTGCCCTCGAGCTGGAGTAGGTCCTTGGGAGCCGGGGAACCTCCAGAGCTGGGAGCTCCCCCTGGAGCTGGGGAAACCCCTTGGGAGCAGCACAGGGGAGTTTGGGACACCCCGAGGCTGAGGGGGCTGTCAGAGCTGGAGCAGCCCTTGGGAGTTTGGGACACCCCGGGGCCGAGGGGGCTGTCGGAGCTGGAGCAGCCCTTGGGAGTTTGGGACACCCCGAGGCCGAGGGGGCTGTTGGAGCTGGGGAACCCCTGGAAGCTGAAGAGTCTTCAGGAGCTGTGAAACACCTTGGGAGATGAGGAAACCCTGGAAATGGGGACCCCCTCAAGATCTGGGGATCCTTCTGGGCTGGGAAATCCCTCGGGAGCTGGGGAGTCCCTCAGGGGACCTGGGGAATCCCCCTGGACTTGGGGAGCCCCTCAGGAGCTGAGGAGCGCACAAAGCTGGGGACCCCCCCACCCTTGCCAGCCCTGTGTCCCCTGTGGGTGGCACAGGTGCAGGACCAGGGCAGGGTGGGACAGGAACCCCCCGCCCCCGGGCTGACCCCACCCCTCACCTGTGGCAGGTACCACCTGGCCGTGACACGGCGCCACGAGAGCGAGCCCAGCAGCAGCAGCATCTACACCCAGAACAACCCCTGGGACCCCCCGGTCACCTTCGAGAGCTTCATCCGCGACAACGAGACCATCGAGGACCAGGTGGCACACGGGGGACGCTGGGCACGCACGGCTGGTGGCCGCTGGGCGGTTCCATCCCCAGACCGGGGCCATCTCTGGGGCTCCCCAGCTCCCGCGGGGGGAAGGGGGGTCCATGGTGCCACTGACACCGCGGTGTGTCCCCCCAGGACCTGGTGGCCTGGGTGACCGTGGGCTTCCTGCACGTGCCCCACGCCGAGGACATCCCCAACACGGCCACCCCCGGCAACGCCGTCGGCTTCTTCCTGCGCCCCTTCAACTTCTTCAGCGAGGACCCGTCGGTGGCGTCGCGGGCCCCGGTGATCGTGCGGCCCCTGGACCCCCCCGCCTGCTCCCGCCTGCAGATCCAGCGCTGGACCCCGGCCAGCCCCGGGCCCTGCGTGCACCCCGAGCCCTTCACCTACAACGGCACCTACCGCCAGGTGTGACGGGGACAGGGACAGGGGACACCGCTGGCGCCGGGCCGTGCGCCGCGGGACAGATGCAGCAGAGCCGGTGTCACCTCCCCGGCCCCGGCACCACGGGGACACGGTGCCACCGGGGCGTGGGACACGTCACACCGTGTCACACGCTGCCACGGGCCAGGCCCAGCACAGGCGGTGTCACCTCCTCTGACCCCGGCTCCGTGTGGCACCCCAGTGACACTGGGACACTGCGGTGGCGGATGTGTCACACTGTGCCACCTGTCAGGCCCAGTAAAGGCCATGCCAACCCTTCCACCACCATGTGGGTCACTGGTGCCACCAGGACACCGGCTGTGGGACATCACACAGTGTCACACACAGTGTCACACACAGTGTCACACACAGTGTCACACAGTGCCAGTAAAGGCAATGTCACCTCTTCTGTTGGCACTGGCACCACGAGGACTCTGGTGCCACCAGGACACCATGGCATGGCTCACGTCACATTGTGACACACAGTACCACCTGTTGGGCTCAGTAAAGGTGATGCCACCCCTTCTGCCACCACACGGGACCCCAGTGTCACAGGGACACCACGGTGTGGGACGTGTCACATGATGCCGTGTGCTGGGCTCAGTAAAGGCAATGTCACCTCCCCTGTCCCCGCGTCTCTGCCAGTGCTGTGGCCCAACCCGTCCCCAGTGCCACAGCCAATCACGGTGCCACCCGAGGCCATTGTCCCTCCCCCCAGCTCCCAGGAGGTGACACACACAGCCGGGGGTCTCTGTCTGGTTTATTGGGGGCACCTACGCGGGGGTGACATGCAGGGGTGACACGGGACAAACACAGCACACGCTACGGGGCGGCCGGGCAGTGCAGCCCCCGGAGCCCTGCATCCCCTCTGTGCAGGGGTGACACTGCCGTGTGTCCCCTCCCTGTGCGGGGGTGACACTGCCGTGTGTCCCCTCGCTGTGCGGGGGTGACACTGCCGTGTGTCCCCTCTCTGTGCAGGGCTGACACTGCCGTGTGTCCCCTCGCTGTGCAGGGCTGACACTGCCGTGTGTCCCCTCGCTGTGCAGGGGTGACACTGCCGTGTGTCCCCCGTTTGTGCGGGGCTGACACTGCCGTGTGTCCCCTCTCTGTGCAGGGGTGACACTGCCGTGTGTCCCCCGGCTGTGCAGGGGTGACACTGCCGTGTGTCCCCCATTTGTGCGGGGCTGACACTGCCGTGTGTCCCCTCTCTGTGCAGGGGTGACACTGCCGTGTGTCCCCTCCCTGTGCGGGGGTGACACTGCCGTGTGTCCCCTCCCTGTGCAGAGGTGACACTGCCGTGTGTCCCCCGTTTGTGCAGGGTGGGGGGCTCGGGGACGCACGGCCCGGCCGGACGGGGGTGGGGGCACACGGAGGGTCCCGACCCTCCCTCAGCCGGGCCGTCCCTGGGGACACGGGGGGCACACACGGAGCCACCGGGCCCCGCAGCCACCGGGGGGGTCCCGGCGGGGACACACGGCGGGGACACGGCGGGGACACACACACACACACACACACACACACACACACACACACACAGACGGGGGGGAGCAACACGCGTGTCCCAGCGCAGCGGGACCCCCCCGACACACACGTGACGTCCTGGGGACAGGACCCGGGGACACACCTGTGCACACCTGTGCACACACACACACCTGTGCACACACACACCTGTGCACACACACACACACACCTGTGCACACACACACACACACACACACCTGTGCACACACACACCTGTGCACACACACACCTGTGCACGCCTGTGCACACACACACCTGTGCACACACACACCTGTGCACACCTGTGCACACACACACCTGTGCACACACACACCTGTGCACGCCTGTGCGCGCGCACACACACACACACACACACACACACACACCTGTGCACACCTGCGCACACACACACACACCTGTGCACACCTGTGCACACACACACACACACACCTGTGCACACCTGTGCACACACACACCTGTGCACCCCCCCGCCGCCCCGGGGCTCGGGGAGCAGCACGAGGAGGAGGAGGAGGAGGAGGAGGAGGAGGAGGAGGAGGAGGAGGAGGAGGAGGAGGAGGAAGAGCAGCACAGTCTGACAGTCCGGGCAGGGGCCCTGGGGTGAGGCGGGGTAACGGGGGGTCCCGGCGGCCCCGAGCTCCCCCGCGGGCCGCCGGCACCGAGGGCAGTGTCCGTGGGGCCGGAGCCCCGGCGGGCCAGGCCCGGGAAGGCTCTGGGGACCCCAGGGCTGGGGGCTCTGTGTCCCCACCCTCAGGGGTCCCAGGGCTCTGGGGACCCTGGGCTGGGGGCTCTGTGTCCCCCCATTCCGGGCTCAGGGGCCCCAGGGCTCTGCATGTCCCATGGCCTGGGCTCTGGGGGTCCCACATGCTGGGGACAGGGGTCCTGCAGCTCTGGGGGTCCCACGTGCCAGCCCCCAGGGCTCCCAGGGCTCCCAGGTGCCAGGGTGGGGAGCTCCGAGGACTCTGGGGGTCCCACCTTCCAGGGCTGGGGGTCCCAGGGCTCCAGGACTTGCAGGGTTCCGGGGGTCCCGGGCGGCGGCGTCCAGGGCTGAGGGCTCCGGGGCTCCCACACTCCGGGCTCGGGGGTTCCCCGTGCTGGGCTCTGGGGGTCGCGTGTCTCGCGCTCTGAGGGCCCCAGGGGTCCCACGTCCTGGGCTCCGAGGGCTGCGGGGGTCCCGCTTTCCGGGGTCGGGGGTCCCGTGGCTCCGGGGGTCCCGCCGCGCCCCGGCGCTCCCATTAGCTGCCGGGGTCGGAGCAGTGTCTCTGCAGCGGGGGGGTCCCCGGGGGGGTCCCCGCGGGCGGGGGCAGCGCCCCGGGCAGGGAGCGGCGCCGCGGGGGGGGCGGCTCCAGCAGCAGCACCACGTCCGGGGGGTCCGGGGCGCGCGGGGGGCGCGGGACCTGCGGAACCGGGCGGGGGGGGTCAGTGGGGGGGGGCACCGGCAACGGGGGGGGGGGGCCCGGGCTGCGCCCCCCATGATACCGACACCCCCCGGGGGCAGGGGGACACGGGGGCAGGCACAGGAGGGCGGCACCCCCAGTCCGGGGGCTCGGGGATGACCCCAGCCCACGGTGCACAGCAAGAGAAGCGGTACCCCCAAACCAGGCACACTCCCAGTCCGGGGGGCTCGGGGGTGACCCCAACCCATGATGCACAGCAAGACAAAGTGATGCCCCCCAAACCAGGCACACTCCCAGTCCGGGGGGCTCGGGGGTGACCCCAACCCACGGTGCACAGCAAGAGAAGCGGTACCCCCAAACCAGGCACACTCCCAGTCCGGGGGGCTCGGGGGTGACCCCAGCCCATGATGCACAGCAAGACAAAGTGATGCCCCCCAAACCAGCACACTCCCAGTCCGGGGTCTCTGGGGTGACCCCTACCCCCAGAGTCGGGCAGTGGAACCCCCCAGCCCCGGCGCCCCCGTCCCTCCTCACCTGAGCGAGCGGGCGGATGGGGGTGATGGGCAGGGTGGGGGGCAGCGGCCCCGGCGGGGGCTGGTGCGGGGAGGTCACGGCGCTGTAGGCGGGGGGCACCAGCACCTGGCGCTGCAGCAGGTGCACGATGGAGGAGATGTCCGAGCTCAGCCGGGACTCCAGCCTGCGGGGCAGCGGGGCCGCCGCGGGATCAGACGGGAGACCCCCAGCACATCCCTCCCATGGCCCCCCAGGACCCCCGGCACCCCCAGCCCATCCCTCCCATTGCCCCCCAGGACCCCCGGCACCCCCAGCCCATCCTCCCCCTGCCCCCCAGGACCCCCGGCACCCCCAGCCCATCCCTCCCATGGCCCCCCAGGACCCCCGGCACTCCCAGCCCATCCCTCCCATGGCCCCCCAGGACCCCCGGCACTCCCAGCCCATCCCTCCCATGGCCCCCCAGGACCCTCAGCACCCCCAGCCCATCCCTCCCATGGCCCCCCAGGACCCCCGGCACCCCCAGCCCATCCCTCCCATGGCCCCCCAGGACCCCCGGCACTGCCCCTGTCCCACCCCTCTCTCAGGTGACTCGGGGGGCTCAGCCTGACCTGGGGGTCTCCCCTTCCTTCTTTTCCTGCTCAGGGTTCTCCAGACCCCTTTGGCAATGGGGGGGCTCCCACGGGGTCCCACTGACCAGGGCCCCCCTCGGGTCCCACCCGACCCCCCAGATTTACCTGTTGAGCTGTTTCTGGAGCAGATCCAAGCGGGATTCCAGGTCGGAGCGCTGGCGGCGGGTCAGGGTCGGGGGGGGATTTGGGGGAGCCCCGTGGGAACAACGGGGGAGCTCCTGGTACTGGCGGCCTCGGGTGTCACCCCAAAAACTGAAGATGTTGGAGACCCCCGAGAAGGCGCCTGGAAAAGGAGGGGGGCGAATGGGTTTGGGGGGTGGGGAAATGAGGGGGGAGGTTTGGGGGATCCAGGAGCCTGGGGGAGGGAGAGCTAGGGCTTTTGGGGGGCTCCACAGCCTTAAACAGGGAGGGGAGGATTGGGACTCCCTGCCCAATCAGAGACCCCTATCCCCACCTGAGGGGGTGCAGGGGCCGTTGGGGGGCAGGGCTGAGAATGGGAGGGGGATCCAAGGTTTGGGGGGCAGCTCTGGAACCCTGAGTGAGGAGAGCAGGAGAGGGGAACCCCCGCCCCAGCCCAACTTTCACCTGGAGGGCTCCGGGGGTGCAGGGGCAGCGTGAGAGGGGGCTCAGGGCTGGGCAGCCAGGGCGTGCTGCAGTTTGGGGGGGTCTGCAGGACCCTGAGCATGGAGAGAAGGAATGGGGACTCCCCAGCCGCAGCTGAGGGGGGCGAGGGGAGCAGTGGACAGGGGACGGGGGCAGGGATGGGGACGGCAGCGCCAGGGTTTGGGGCGGCCTCTGAGCCCCGAGGCAGGAGGGGAGGGAGGCGGCACGCACCTGAGAGGGGGTTGCACATGTCGCTGCCCTCCCGCTCCTCGGGCTCGGGCGGCGCCGGGGCGGCGCTGCGGAACGGGGACAGCGCGGTGGCGCCCGGGGGGGGCGCGGGGGGCTCCTCCTCGTCACTGGAGCCGCAGCTGGAGGGGCTGGGGGGGTCCCACTCGGCCGGGCCTCGGGGGGCTCCGGGCGCTTGGCCCCCGCCGCCGTCCCCCCGCAGCGCCCGGGACTCCCCGGGACTGGCGGCGTCTGCAGGGGACAGAGCGGGGTCAGGGCCGGGCCACGAGACCCTGGGGCCACCCCCGGGGGTCCCGGCCCCCGCCCCGCACCTTTCTCGGGGCGCCGGCGGAAGGAGAGCTTGCGGCGCCGCAGGCGGGAGAAGCCTCCGTCCAGCTCGTCGCTGCCCGGGGAGCCGGGGATCATGTTGGTCTGCGGGGGCACGGGGGCACCGTCGGGGCCGGCCGGACCCCTCCCCGAGCTCAGGACCCCCCGAGCCCCCAGCCCCTCACAGTTCGCTCAGCGCCCCCTCCCTTGCTCAGGAACCCCCACCCAAAATTGCACAGAATCCCCCAACCTGCTCAGGACCCCCAAACCTGCTCAGGACCCCCCAACCTGCTCAGGACCCCCCAACATGCTCAGGACCCCCCAACCTGCTCAGGACCCCCCAGCCTCACTCGGGGCTCTCCCGGCTCGCTCAGAATCCCCCAAGACCTCTCGAAACCCCCCAACAACCTGCTCCGAACTCCCCCAACTCCCTCAAGACCCCCAGTTCGCTCAGGACCCCGCTCAGCTTGCTCTGAACCCCCTTATTGGTTCAGGACCACCCATTTCCAGGACCCCCGGCTCACTCGGACCTCCCGGCTGGCGGGGAGGGGACCCCCCCCGTTTTTTGGAACCCCAGCCCCCCCGGGCCCCCCCTCACGTCGCGCAGGTTGAAGGTGATCTCGAGGGTGCCCCAGAAGCGGTCGGAGAACTCGGGGTACATGTCGAGCACCTCGAGCAGGTCCTCGCGCAGGATCTTGTGCAGGTCGCAGTAGGTGAGAGCCCGCACGTCCGCCCGCGACTTCCCGGGCCGGGCGTGCAGGTGCAGCGGCTCCCCGAAGGTGTCGTTCTTACCTGGGGGGCACGGGGGGACCGGGGCTCAGCACTGCCCCCGCCACCCCGCGGCTCCCCAAGGGTCTTCCGAGCTGGGGACACCCAGGGAGGGACCGAGGGGAACCCAAAGGGGTGACCCCAAAGCTGGGGGGGATCCGGGAGGGGCAGGAGGCACTCGGGGTGCCTGGGAGCCAGGGTGTGACTGGGGGGGACACTCAGGGTGTGCACAGGGCTGGGGGGCCCCGGGGGACAGGGGGGGCATTCTGGGTTTTGGGGGTTCCCCAAGAGGGGGGATCAGTATGGGCTTCCCCCAGCACTGGGGTGTCCCCAGAAGATGGGGGGTCAGTGTAGGCTTTCCCCAGTATTGGGGGTTCCCCAAGAGGGGGGTCATTCTGGGCTTTGTGGGGTCCCCAGGAGATGGGGGGGTCAGTCTGGGCTTTGGGGGGTCCCCAATAGGCAGGGGCCAGTATGGGCTTTGGGGGGTCCCCAGGAGACAGAGGTCAGTATGGGCTTTGGGGGGGTCCCCAGGAGATGGGGGGGTCAGTCTGGGCTTTGGGGGGTCCCCAGGAGATGGGGGGGTCAGTCTGGGCTTTGGGGGTTCCCCAAGAGGGGGGTCAGTCTGGGCTTTGGGGGTCCCCAGGAGATGGGGGGGTCAGTCTGGGCTTTCCCCGGCACCGGGGTGTCCCGGGATGGGGGGGTCCCTCGGCAGGCAGGTCTGGTGTCACCCGAGGAGCACCGGGGGTCTCCAGGAGATGGGGTGTCACCTCTAGGAGATGGGGGTGTCACCCTGGGGACACCCAGGAGCCCCAAAGGCAGCGGCTGCTGCCCCACGGGGCACTGCAGGACCCCAGGGTCCCTTCGGGGGGCTCACCCAGGATGGCGACCACGACGTCGCCGCGCAGGATCTCGATGGAGCCGCGGGAGATGAAGTAGAGCGCGGTGAGCACGTCCCCGGCGTGCACCAAGGTGTCCCCGGGGGGCGCGTGGGTGGTCTTGAACTTCATGGCCAGCGCCCGCAGGCAGCCCTTGGTGGCGCCGCGGAACGGGGCACAGTTCTGCAGCAGGCTGCGGTTCAGGTGCAGGCAGATGTCGGCCTGCAGGCACTCGGGGAACCCCTTCAGCACCTGGGGAGAGCCGGGGGCTCACGGGGGGCACAGAGGCCGGGGGGTCCCCGGGGTCAGGGGCAGGGCAGGTTTTAGGGGTCCTGGAGGGTCCCGCTGTGGTCACACCGATGCTGCCGGTGCTGGAAAGGCTCCCTGAGGAGGGGGGCTGACGGCCAGGGGGGAATTTGGGGGTCCCACGGGGGTTTTGGGGTATTTTTGGGGGTCTCACCGTGTTCATGTCAGTGCTGTTGGTGCAGGACCAGGTGGAAATGCTCCCTGAGGAGGGGAGGGGGGTAGGGGTCCCAGGGGGGTTTGGGGTGTTTTGGGGTGTTTCTGGGGTTTCTCGGGGTCTCACCACGTTCATGTCAATGCTGTTGGTGAAGGACCAGGCATGCTGGAAGAGGGGCTGAGGGCTGGGGGGGTTTGGGGCTCCCGTGGGGTTTTGGGGTGTTTTGGGGTGTTTTGGGGTGTTTTGGGGTGTTTTTGGGGTCTCACCGCGTTCATGTCAATGCTGTTGGTGTAGGACCATGTGTGCTGGAAGCACTCCCTGAGGAGGGGAGCTGAGGGCCATGGGGGTTTGGGGGTCTCAGGGGGTTTGGAGTGTTTTTGGGGTGTTTCTGGGGTTTCTCAGGGTGTCACCACGTTCATGTCGATGCCGTTGGTGTAGGACCAGGTGTGCTGATAGAGGGGCTGAGGGCTGGGGAGGTTTAGGGCTCCCGTGGGGTTTTGCGGTGTTTTTGGGGTGTTTTTGGTGTCTCGCCACGTTCATGTCGATGCTGTTGGTGTAGGACCAGGCATGCTGGAAGAGGGGCTGAGGGACCGGGGAGTTTGGGATGTTTCTGGGGTTTTTTGGGGTGTTTGTGGGGTCTCCCCACGTTCATGTCGATGCCGTTGGTGTAGGACCAGGCGTGCTGGAAGCGCTCCCTGAGGAGGGGGGCTGAGGTCCAGGGGGGTTTTGGGGTCTCAGGGGGTTTGGAGTGTTTTGGGGTGTTTTTGGGGTCTCACTGCATTCATGTCGATGCCATTGGTGTAGGACCAGGCATGCTGGAAGCACTCCCTGAGGAGGGGAGCTGAGGGCCATGGGGATTTGGGGGTCTCAGGGGGTTTGGAGTGTTTTTGGGGTGTTTCTGGGGTTTCTCAGGGTCTCGCCACATTCATGTCGATGCCATCGGTGTAGGGCCAGGTGTGCTGGAAGAGGGGCTGAGGGACGGGGCGGGTTGGGATGTTTCTGGGGTTTTTTGGGGTGTTTTTGGGGTCTCACTGCGTTCATGTTGACGCCATTGGTGTAGGACCAGGCGTGCTGGAAGAGGGGCTGAGGGCTGGGGCGGTTTAGGGCTCCCACGGGGTTTGGGGTGTTTCTGGGGTGTTTCTGGGGTGTTTCTGGGGTTTCTCAGGGCCTCACCGCGTTCATGTCGATGCCGTTGGTGTAGGACCAGGCGTGCTGGAAGTACTCCTCGAGGCGCTGGCGCAGCGGGTTGGGGATCTGGTGGAAGCGGATGAACTCGCGCACGCGCAGCATCTGCGTGTGGTAGCGCGCCGTGCCCGAGTACAGCCGCTGGATGATGGCCGACACGTTCCCGAAGATGCTGGCGTACATCAGCGCTGGGGGGGCAGCGTCAGGATGGCACCCCGAGCCCCCCAGACCCCCACTGCCACCCCCCGGCCTGGGGGACAGGGTCCCCGTGTCCCCGTGTCCCCAGGCACGAGCGCCCGGTGGTGGCCGAGGCGCTCCCGAGGACGCTGCCCTGCACTGGTGCTGGGGGGCCGTGTCGGGGGGCTCTGCACCCCCAAAACCCCCAACCGCCCCCCCCCAAACCCTCACTGCTGCCAGGGCTGTAGTGTGGGGTACCCATCACTGTGGAGGGTGCCCATTGTCACTGGGGGTCCCCACTGTCACAGGGGGGATCCATCACCACAGAGTGCCCCTTGTCACTGGGGTCCCATCAGCACTGGAGCTCCCATCACCGCAGAGTGCCCCTTGTCACGGGGGTCCCATCATCACGGGAGTGTCCCCACCACCACAGAGTGCCCCTTGTCACAGCAGTCCCCATCACCACATGGGTTCCCACTGTCACCATACCCCATAATTGTGAGTGTCCCCATGGCCATGGAGGGGCATCATTGTCACACTGGTGCCAAGAGTCATCCAGGGAATTCTCAGATGCCTGAGCCCACCTGTCCCCCAGCACTGCCAAGGCCACCCCTGACCATGTCCCCAAGTGCCACATCCACACAGATTTAAATCCCTCCAGTGATGGGGACACCACCATGCCCTGGGCAGCTGTGCCAGGGCTGGACAGACTTTCCCAGGAAAGAATTGTTCCCAATTTCCACCCTGAGCTGCCCTGGCCCAGCCTGAGGCCGTTCCCTCTGCTCCTGTCCCTGTTCCCTGGAGCAGAGCCCGACCCCCCCGGCTGTGCCCTCCTGGCAGGAGCTGTGCAGAGCCACAAGGGCCCCCTGAGCCTCCTCTGCTCCAGGCTGAGCCCCTGCCCAGCTCCCTCAGGGATTCTGCAGCCCCTGCCCAGCTCCCTCAGGGATTCTGCAGCCCCTGCCCGGCTCCCTCAGGGATTCTGCAGCCCCTGCCCAGCTCCCTCAGGGATTCTGCAGCCCCTGCCCAGCTCCCTCAGGGATTCTGCAGCCCCTGCCCAGCTCCCTCAGGGATTCTGCAGCCCCTGCCCAGCTCCTCAGGGATTCTGCAGCCCCTGCCCGGCTCCCTCAGGGATTCTGCAGCCCCTGCCCGGCTCCCTCAGGGATTCCCCAGCCCCTGCCCAGCTCCCTCAGGGACTCTCCAGCCCCTTCCCAGCTCCATTCCCTGGACTCACTCCAGCCCCTCCAGGGCTCTCCTGCTGGAGGGGCCCAGAGCTGCCCCCAGGATTCCAGGGGGTCCCTCAGCAGGGCCAGCACAGGGGACAATCCCTGCCCTGGGCTCGTGTCCAGCTGCTGTCACCAGCCCCTGTGTCCAGCCTGGAGGTTCCATGGGGCTGGTGTGACCCACAGGTGTCCCCAGCCCATGGATCTCTGCACAGCCTCCTGTCCCTCAGCAGAGCCACCTCCCACCCAGCCGCGTCACCTGAGGACAGGCCACGAGGGGCTCTGGTCCCCAGAGCATCAGTGAAGGTGCCAAACAGGGCTGGCCCCAAAACTGAGCCTGGGGGTGCTCCTACACCCCCCATGTGTGTGGGTACAGATACAGGTGTTACACACAGGTGTGGGGATACACACACAGCTCTGCACACTCACAGGGGCTCTCACACCCCATGGCCCTCACACCCCATCACACAATGCAGATAGAGATCTGCTGGAACTGGTGTTGGGGAACGGGTCCAAGGCCCCCGGAGCTCTCACACACACCTGGCTGCACACACAGGTGCTGACACACACCCAGGTGTGCAGCACACACTCACACAGCTCTCACACACACCCAGGTGTGCAGCACACACTCACACAGCTCTCAAAGCCCAGGGCACTCACACACACCCGGGTGTGCAGCACACACTCACACAGCCCACACACTCACACACACACACACACTCACACACAGGTGCTCACACACACCCAGGTGTGCAGCATACACTCACACAGCTCTCTCTCACACACACACACACACAAGGTGTGCAGCACACACACAGCTCTCTCTCTCACACACACACTCACACAGCTCTCTCTCACACACACTCACACACAGGTGCTCACACACACACCCAGGTGTGCAGCACACACTCACACAGCTCTCTCTCACACACACACACTCACACAGCTCTCTCTCTCACACACACACTCACACACTCTCACACACAGGTGCTCACACACACCCAGGTGTGCAGCACACACTCACACAGCTCTCTCTCACACACACACACACACACTCACACAGCTCTCTCTCTCACACACACTCACACACACACACACTCACACAGCTCTCTCACACACACACACACACACACACACTCACACACACTCACACACACACACTCACACACAGGTGCTCACGCCCCCAGGTGTGCAGCACACACTCACACAGCTCTCACACACACTCACACAGCTCTCACACACACACACACACACACACACACACACAGCTCACACACACACTCACACACACACTCACACAGCTCTCTCTCACACACACTCACACACAGGTGCTCACGCCCCCAGGTGTGCAGCACACACTCACACAGCTCTCTCTCACACACACACACACACAGGTGCCCACACACACCCAGGTGTGCAGCACACACTCACACAGCTCTCTCTCACACACACACACACACTCACACAGCTCTCTCTCTCACACACACACACACTCACACAGCTCTCTCTCACACACACACACACTCACACAGCTCTCTCTCACACACACACACACACTCACACAGCTCTCTCTCTCACACACACACACACTCACACAGCTCTCACACACACACACACACACTCACACAGCTCTCTCTCTCACACACACACACACTCACACAGCTCTCTCTCTCACACACACACACACTCACACAGCTCTCACACACACACACACACACTCACACAGCTCTCTCTCTCACACACACACACACTCACACAGCTCTCTCTCTCACACACACACACACTCACACAGCTCTCACACACACACACACACACTCACACAGCTCTCTCTCTCACACACACACACACTCACACAGCTCTCTCTCTCACACACACACACTCACACTCACACAGCTCTCTCTCTCTCACACACACACACACTCACTCACACTCACACAGCTCTCTCTCTCACACACACACACACTCACACAGCTCTCTCTCTCTCTCACACACACACACACTCACACAGCTCTCTCTCTCACACACACACTCACACAGGTGCTCACGCCCCCAGGCGTGCAGGCGCCCCCACTCACACCCCGGGGCACTCACATCCGATCAGCATGACGCAGATGGAGAAGATCTTCTCGGAGTTGGTGTTGGGGGACACGTTGCCGAAGCCCACGCTGGTGAGGCTGCTGAAGGTGAAGTAGAGCGCCGTGACGTACTTGTCCTTGATGGAGGGCCCGAAGCTGCCGTTCAGGGGCTTGCCGATCTGCTGTCCCAGCGCGTGCAGCCAGCCCGTGCGCTGCCCCTCCACGTTGCCGATGGCGTACCAGATGCAGGCCAGCCAGTGCGCGATCAGGGCGAAGGTGCACATCAGCAGGAACAGCACGGCCGCCCCGTACTCCGAGTACCGGTCCAGCTTCCGCGCCACCCGCACCAGCCGCAGCAGCCGCGCCGTCTTCAGCAGCCCGATCAGCGTCGTGGTCTGGGGAGCGGCAGGGAAAGGGTTACAGGGGGTGGGGATACCCTGGGGACACGCAGAGGGCTGAGGGTCCATCCTCTCTCCCCACATCAGCAGCCCGATCAGCATCGTGGTCTGGGAGCGGCAGGGAAAGGGTTACGGGGCTGGGGACACCCTGGGGACACACAGGGGGGTGAGGGGGGCTTTCACCCTCTCTCCCCACATCAGCAGCCCGACCAGTGTCGTTGTCTGGGGAGCGGCAGGGAAAGGGTTACAGGGCTGGGGATACCCAACCCGGGGCACCCACAGAAGGGAGAGAGGGGCTGGGGGGGTTTCATCCCCTCTTCCCCCATCAGCAGCCCCACCAGCGTCATTGTTTGGGGGACAGGAAAAAGTGGGGGGTCGACAGTGAAGAGACACCCTCAGGACCCCAAAAGGGTGGAGGGCCCCTGCCCCAAGCCAGGCACCTCCATTCTGGGGTCTCCCCCTGCCCCAGGTGCCCCCCAGGCTGAAGGTGTCTGGGGAGGGAGGAAAGGGGGGTCGCCAGAGCCACAGAGCCCCCACAGACCCCTGGTAGGGCAGAGGGGGCCATGAGCCCCTGTCCCCCTCCCATACCAGCCCCAGTGCCCCTGCTGTCCCACCCAGAGCAAAGGGGGCCTGGGCAGGAGGTTCAGGGGGCTCTGGGCAGGGGGTTCAGGGGGATCTGGGCAGGGGGTTCTGGGGGGTCTGGGCAGGAGGTTTAGGGGGTTCTGGGGGGTCTGAGCAGGGGGTTCAGGGGGCTCTGGGTAGGAGGTTCAGGGGGCTCTGGGCAGGGGGTTCTGGGGGGGTCTGGGCAGGGGGTTCGGGGGCTCTGGGCAGGAGGCTCAGTGGGGTCTGGGCAGGGGGTTCAGGGGGCTCTGGGCAGGGGGTTCGGGGGATTTGGGCAGGAGGTTCAGGGGGGTCTGGGCAGGGGGTTCAGGGGGATCTGGGCAGGAGGTTTGGGGGGTCTGGGCAGGGGGTTCAGGGGGTTCACCAGGGGCACTGTGGTGTCCTGGGCCTGGGACCTGCCTGGTGTGGGACCCCCAGGCACTCCCTACGGGCAGACCCAGCACCCAGGAACAGCCCCCACCACCCCAACATCCACGCCAGCACTGGGGGCATGGGTGGGACCCCCAGACACAGCCCAGACCCCCAGAGCAGCACTGCCCGGCCAGCGGGGCTGGCAGCCCGTGTCCCCGTGTCCCCTGTCACCTCCTCGGAGCCAGAGCCGAAGATGAGCAGGTCGAAGGGGATGGCGGCCACCATGTCGATGAGGAACCAGCCCTTGAAGTAGTGGATGGCGATCTTGGCGGGGTGGCTGACCACCTCCTCGTTGGAGTTGACGTAGGTGGTGCGGAAGTTGATGAGGATGTCGATGATGAACATGATGTCCACGATCAGGTCCACCACGTTGAGCGGGCTGCAGGAGTAGCCGCAGTGGTGCCGCTGCGCCTCCTCCGAGTCGCTGAGCAGGAAGGCGGCCGAGTAGGGCGTGAAGATGGCCGTGTAGATGACCAGCAGCAGGATCAGCCAGTCCCACACGGCCTTGAAGGGGCTGTAGTGCAGGATGGTCCAGCGGTGGATGCGCGGCGCCTGCAGCTTGTACTCGGGGAGCACATCAGCACCCAGGGACAGCACCTGGCACGGGGGGACACAGGGCTCAGCCTGCACCCCAATACCCTACAGCACTCTGCCCCTGCCACCCCAACCCCGACCAGTGCCCGGGCCAGGGGATGGTGGCCTTGGCCAGGCTGGGTCAGGGCTCGGCCTTGGCCAGGCTGGGTCAGGGCTGGGCCTTGGCCACGCTGGGTCACGGCTGGACCCAGGGGTTCTGGGGGGCCTTTACCACCTCAGCAGTGCTGTGACACTCTGGGGTGAGGTGTGACCCCAACAAGGGCATGTGGGGGGCTGCAGGGGGGCAGTGCTGCTGCAGGGCTCACACCCCCAGCCTGGGGACAGGTGGGCACCTGGGTCAGGATCCTCCTGCCCAGACCCCCCTGACCCTCCTGCCCAGACCCCCCTGACCCTCCTGCCCAGATCACCTTTGCACTGGGTGCTCATCACTGGACCTGGTGGTCTTAAAGGTCCTTCCCAAAACCAACGTTCTGTGACTCTGGGGGGGCAGAGGGAGCCCAGCACAGGCAATGAGGGGTGCAGGGACACCACCACGTGTGACCAGGGGTGCCAGGGGGGGACAGGGGGGACCATGGCCCTGCACAGCACAGAGCTACCCCACAACCCCCTCGTGCCCCACAAATAGCACCAGGGCAGCTCCCACCCCACGGTGCTGCCCTGTGCCCCAGCTCTGTGCCCCCACCCCCATCGGGGGGCACAGCCTCCCCCTGGCATTTCCACCGGGAGGGTACAGACCCCACCCCACACGCCAGTCCCTGTGCACAGCACCTGCACGTCCTGGGGCACAGCCCCAGGGTCCTTGTGGGGTCCCTGTCACCCTGGGGGTGCTCCACAGGGTCCATCACCCCGCACAGCCCCACGGCAAGGGTGAGAGGCGACAGGGGCGCCCCACGCCCCCCGCCCTGTGCCCCCCAGGGGTCACAGCCTCCCTTCTGCCCTGTGGGGGTCACAGTGCCCCTGCCCCCCCCGTGTCCCCTTGCCCCCCCGGGCCCATCGTGGGGCTCCATCTGCTGCCGCAGCACCAGGAGGGGATGGGCGCCATCCCCCCTGCTCCCCCATCGGCCCCCAGCCCGAGGGGACCCCTGGGGGGGCCGGGGTGCCCCCGTCGCGCAGAGCCAGAGCTTTATGTAAGCCCCGCACCCTCCCGAACCATGCCGAGGACACGGACGCGGCCCCCACAGCCCCCGCCAGGTCTCGGGTGGGCGCAGAGCCCCCAGCCCCGCGGCACCCCCGCCCCATCGGCCGGGTCAGGGGGCGCAGGAAGGGCCGGCACCGGTACCTGCTCCTGCTGTCCTCCGTGCCCGCTGCCATCGCGGCGGAGCCCCAGGCAGGCGCTGCAGAGCGGGACCCCGGGCATGGGGCAGGGCCCGGGGGGCGGCCCGGCCCGGGGGGGCGCGGGGGAGGCGCCCGGGAACTCCTGCAGCAGCTGCAGGAGCGCGGGCAGCATCCTCGGGATGGGGGCAGCGGGGTCAGCCCCCGCCGGCCCGGGGCGGCCAGGGACCCCCCCGGCCCGGCCCCGCGCCCATCGCGTGCCCCGGGACCCCCGGGGGGAGCGGGGACCCCCGGCGGCGATGGGGACCCCCGGTGGGAGCGGGGACCCCCGGCGCGGTGCGCCAGCCGCGCTCCGCCCGAGCCGACAGGAATTATTGGGGCGGAAATTTTTCCCAGGCTGCTCCGCTGCCGCCGCCACGGCCACGGCCAGGGCTGCCCCCCCGGCCCCCCAGCGCCCCCCGGGCCCCCCGGCTGCGGGGACAGCGCTGCGGGTGCCCTCGGGCGACACGGCACGGGCTGCGACATGTCACAAGCCCCGAGAGCCCCCGGGCACCCCCAGGGCACCCAGGAACCCCCACCTGCCCCAGGTGTGCGGGGACAGCGCTGCCCATGGCAACGAGCGGGGCGTCAGGGGCCACACCCGTGCCAGGGACACGCAGGGGACACACCAGGACACGCCAGGGATGTCCCCCACCCTGCGGTGCCCACAGACTGGAATGTGGGTCCCATCCCAGCCAGAACATGTCCCCCACTGCCACAGCCCCCCGGGACACAGGCCCCGTCACCTGTGTCCCCAGAGGCCACCAGCCGCGGTGGCCTCGTGGGGAACAGCCACGGGGTGCTGGGACACGCGGTGCTGGCACCGGGACACGCGGTGACACTGCTGGGACACGCGGTGCTGGCACCGGGACACGCGGTGACACACAGTGACACAGGCAGCCCAGCCCGCCCCAGGGACACACAGCGATGGCACTGGGACACACGGCGGTGCTGCCGCGACACGCGGTGACAGCGCCGGGACACGCGGTGACACGCGATGACAGCACTGGGACACACGGCAGCTCCTGCGTCACAGCCGCCACCCCCACGCGGGGGATTCCCGCTGCCACCCGTGTCCCCACGCACCGAGTGACAGAGGGACGAGGCCACCCCTGCCCCGCGTGCGGGGGTCCCCGCTGCCACCCCCTCCTGGGGGGCTGCACCCCAACACCCCCCGAGCCCCAGGCGCGCCCCCCGGGGGTGGCACGGGTGGCACGGGGCCCTGGGGACACGGGGGGTGACAGGTACCGGGACACGGGGGGTGTTACAGGTACCGGGACACGGGGGGTGTTACAGGTACCGGGACACGGGGATGTGACAGGTACGGGGATACGGGGGTGACAGGTACGGGGACACGGGGGGTGTTACAGGTACGGGGACACGGGGATGTGACAGGTACGGGGACATGGGGGGTGACAGGCACCGGGACACGGGGTGTGTGACAGGCACCGGGACATGGGGGGTGACAGGCACCGGGACATGGGGGGTGACAGGTACGGGGACACGGGGTGTGTGACAGGCACCGGGACATGGGGGGTGACAGGTACGGGGACACGGGGGGTGACAGGTACGGGGACACGGGGGGTGTGACAGGCACCGGGACATGGGGGGTGACAGGCACCGGGACATGGGGGGTGACAGGTACGGGGACACGGGGGGTGACAGGTACGGGGACACGGGGGGTGACAGGCACCGGGACATGGGGGGTGACAGGCACGGGGACACGGGGGGTGACAGGCACGGGGACACGGGGGGTGGCAGGTACCGGGACACGGGGGGTGACAGGCGCCGGGACACGGGGATGTGACAGGTACGGGGACACGGGGGGTGACAGGCACCGGGACACGGGGAGTGTGACAGGCACCGGGACACGGGGAGTGACAGGTACCGGGACACGGGGGGTGTGACAGGCACCGGGACACGGGGAGTGTGACAGGCACCGGGACACGGGGGGTGACAGGCACCGGGACATGGGGGGTGACAGGTACGAGGCACGGAGCCCCCCCCGGTGCCAGCGGGGAGCCCGGGGGTGTCCCTGGGGGGGACCCCAGCCCCGAGCCCCCCGGGCTGTGCCGGCTCGGGGGGAGGGGCGGGCAGGGGGGGGGGGACAGCGGGGGAGGGGCGGGGGGCGTTTCCAGCCACCAGCCGCTCCCGCCGCTAAATTTATCGCAGCTGCCGCGGCAAAGTGGGACAGAGCCCGGCCTGCGGCGTGGGGGGCGGGGGCCGCGGAAGGCCCCGGGGGCGGGGGGGTCCCGCCGTCTACAGGGACAGACCCCCGCCCCCCGCCCCCCCGAGCCGCTGGGGGTGGCCCGCAGCCCACCTGAGCTCGCCCTCAGCTCGGGACCCCTAACCTGGACCCCCGCTCAGGCACAGCCCCCAGAATACACCCAGCGCAGCCCCTGCCCCTTCCCGGGGGCCCCAGCGAGGCCGAGGGACTGTCCTGGCACCCCCTCCCCGTGCCAGCCCCCCGCATGCACGGGGGACACGCAGAGTCCCCCTGGCCCCAGCCGTGGGGTCTCCAGCCCCCCAAATGGGGGGGCAGCCCCCAGCCCAGCGTGTCCCCGAGCCCTGGGGACAGCCCCCAGCCCAGCGTGTCCCCCCTCCACGGGGACAGCCCCCAGCCCAGCGTGTCCCCGAGCCCTGGGGACAGTCCCCACCCTAGCAGGGCTCGGGGGTGCCATGAGGAGGGGTTGGGGACACCCCAAGCACGGGTGGGACCCCCCAGCCCTGGCGCGTATGTCGGGACAGAGCCGATATGCGGCGACATCCCGAGCGCCCCGGTCCCGGTGCCACCCCCCCGCCCCGACACCCGTCAGTCACGGTGACACAGATGGCGGCGGTGCCGGTGACACGTTCGGCAACACGCGGCGACACGTCCCGCCCCGGTGACGCGTCCCCGACACCTGCGGTGACACCGCCACCCCCCGCCCCCCCGGGACACCCGGTGCCGCACCTGCCGCGACCCAGACACCTGCGCCCACGGGCACCCCAAATACCGGCCGGGACAGGGGCAGGGGCAGGGACAGGGGCAGGGGCAGGCTGCACCCCCCGAGAGCCCTCCGAGACCCTGGCTGGGACCCCTGCACCCCCCGAGAGCCCCCCGAGACCCTGACCGACCCCCCTGCGCCCCCCGACACCCGGGCTGACCCCCCTGCACCCGGCCGGGCCCCTCAGCATCCCCCGGGGCACCGACCCCCCCTCTGTCGCCGCCCCGTCCCTGCTCCCCCCCAGCCCAGCAGGGACCCCCAGCACCCGGCAGGGACCCCACCCCTGCTCTGGCAGGGACCTGAGAGTCCCAGAGCCCCAAACCCTGCCCAGCAGGGACACCACAGCCGCAGAGTCCCAAATCCTGCCCCAGGGAGTGCCCCACAGCCACAGAGCCCCAAATCCTGCTCCAGCAGGGACCCCACAGCCACAAAGCCCCAAAGCCTGCCCCACTGAGTGCCCCACAGCCACAGAACCCCAAACCCTGCCCCAGTGAGTGCCCCACAACCACAGAGCCCCAAATCCTGCTCTAGAGAGTGCCCCACAGCCACAGAGCCCCAAATCCTGCTCCAGCAGGGACCCCACAGCCACAGAGCCCCAAATCCTGCCCCAGCAGGTACCAGCACCCACAGGCGCCCAACACCAGCCCTGGCATGTACCCCACCCCTCCCTGGGCAGCCAACACCTCCCTGGGTACCCCACACGGGCCCTAACCAGGCCCGGGCACCCACCCCATGCGCCACCAGGGTCCGAGACCCCCAGCCGTCCCCAGCCTGAACACTGACACCCGCCCTGTCACTGCCCCTGAAGCGCTGGGGGCCCGGGGACACCCCCAGCCCGAGGGACACTGACCCCCATGTCCCCACCCGGCAGCTGTCACCCGCTGCGGGCACAGCGGGGCACTGCCAGCTATTGCCAGGTGACACCAGAGCAGCGTGGGGACGCCCCGACACGGACATCCCGTGCTGGGGACCCCCCCGCTGTCCCCTCCCCGCGCTGCTGTCCCCGGTGCCATGGGGTACTCACGGCGCTGAGCTGCGGCGTCGCAGCCCCCTCGGGACCCCCCGACATGGGCACGGGGCACACGGGGCCGCCCGGGCGGGCAGCGACACTGGCACCCGCTGCCTCTGGCGCCCGTGGCACGGTGGGGGACAGGCCCCGTGACAGGGTGACGTCCCTGGGGGACGGGGTGACGTCCCTGGGGGACGGGGTGACGTCCCTGGGGGCGGTGCGCCCGCCCCAGCCCCGACCCCTGCCCAGTGACGCTGGCACTGACCCACACCCACCCCAAAGCCACGGCCACGGCAAGGGAACGGCTGCAAGGAGCCGGGACACTCTGGGGACCGCCGGGGACACTCTGGGGACCGCCGGGGACACAGCAGAGGCCGTGCCAGGCACGAGCCGTTACCCCCGGCACACCACAGGCACCGCGGCACAGCGGGACACGGCGCCGGGCCCGGCCGTGGCACCAGGTGGGCACTGCGGACCCATGAGGGGGTTATGCCCCCAACCCCCGGGGCACTGGGGACCCCAGATCCCCCTGGACCCCCAGAGCCACCCTCCACAACAGCCAGTGCCCGGTACCCCCGGCACCCCCGGTACCCCACGGCCCCTGAGGGCGGGATGAGCCACAGGAGCCACTTCCCCAGCGGGGACACCCCAGACCCCCTCGGGACCCCCAGCCCCCCGCAGCCCCTCAGAGCCGCCTGCTGCGACCCCCGTGCCAGGCCTGCTCCGTATGCCCCAGCGGGACACCCCGCACCCACGCGTGGCAGCAGAAATCCCGGGTCCCTGTTCCCACCGTGGGGGGAGACCCCCCCGAAATTCCCGGGACCTCCAAACCCATCCCAACGCTCCGGCCGCGATCCCCGGTGCCCGCCCCCCTGTCCCCCATCCCGGCATGGGGACACCCCGTGCCCGCGAGCCCTGGGACGACGGCGGGGCCCCGTTCCCAGCGCGGGGGGACCCCCGGAGCCGCCCGGAGCCGCCTGCAGCGCCCACCGCTGTCCCCAGCGCTCCGTGCCCTCCATCCCGCGTGGGGACAGCCCCGGCACGCACGGCGCAAGGACAATGGGACCCCGGTCCCCGGGGGGGGCGGACCCTCGCCAGAGCTCCCCGATCCCCCCGGCGACCCCCAGAGCCGTTCCCGACAGCGCCCGGTGCCCGCCCCCCCGTTCCGTTTCCCCCGTGCCGCCGGGGGACGCCCCGGGACCCCGAGCCACGTGCGCCGCTACAGACCGGGGGTCCCGCTCTCCTCCCGGCGAGGACCCCCGCGACCCCCGCGCCTCCCGCGGCCCCGGCCGGCCCGTACCTCCTGTGCCACCAGGCTGGAGACCCGCACGGCCCGGCGGACCCGCTCCCGCCGCTCCCCGTCGGGGCGCTCGGCGCGGTCCCCGCTGTCGCGCCGCGCCGGGGCCATGGCCGCGCTCCGGGGGTCCCCGCGCCCCCCCGGCCCTGCGCGCGGCAGATGGAGCGGGGCGGGACCCCCCGAGCCCTCCCCGCGCTCGCCCCCGCCGGGCCCCCCCGGCTCCAGCCCTCGCCACTCCCCGGAGGAGGGACCGGGAGCGCCCGGGAACGGCCCCGCGGGGACTCCGGGCCGAGGTGGGGCGCGGGGGCCCGCGGAACCGGCGCCTTCCCCGCCTGCTCCCGCGGCACCGCGGCCCCCCAGGGTCCGGGAGGGATCCCCGAAGTGTGACTGGCACAGCGCTGTCACCGCGGGATGGGGACGGGGAGGATGACGGGGACAGTGGTGGTGGGGACACGGACGGTGACGGGGACACGCACGGTGACGGTAGCGGTGAGCTGGCCCTGGCAGCCCCGGCTGATTCACGGCTCCCGGTGTCCCCGTGTCCCTGGCTCCCGATGTCCCCGTGTCCCTGGCCACTGCCCAGCCCTGGCAGTGCCCCACGGCTGCGCCCGCCCGGCCCCCCCGGGCACCCCCAGCCTCGACGAGAGGGACCTGGGGGGCAGCGGGTCCAGGGTCGGCAGGACTCGTCCTGCACTGGGGGCCCTGGTGTCCCCAAGCCGCCCCAACAGCCAGCGACCCCCCAGTGACACGTCCTGGCTGGTGGCACCGCCGGGTCCCCACACCCCCTGAATGGGGCTGGGGTCCCCCCGCCCTATCCTGCCCCACCCGGGGATCCCCTCCAGAAGGGAGCAGGAGTTCCCGGGGGTCCCATGAGCCCTGGGGGTGTCACGGCCACAACAGGCCCCTGTCACTGTCACCTAGAGCGTGGTGACCTTGACGGGCGCTTGGCTCCGGCCCCGCGGGTGAATCACGGTGCCGCTGCAGGGACACCCTGTCCCCCGGAGCCACCGACCCGAGGGGCCGTGCCGTGCCCGAGCTGGGGACAGCCCCACGGCCCCTGTGGCCGTGTCCCCTGCCTCCGTGTCCCCTGTGGCCGTGTCCCTGGCTTCCCCGAGCGCACAGACGGGGCACCCCGAGACTCCCCCAGCCGGGGCACCCCGAGACTCCCCCGCCGTGCCGGGGGCACGGCCCGGCCCGGTGACCGCAGCCGTGCTCCCCCGTGTCCCATCATGGCCCCGTGGCTCCGGCGGGGAAGTGAGAGCGCAGCGTCACCCTGGCGGCACAGTTAACCACGGCCGGGGCAATCAAGAGGTTCCGAGAGGAGCTGGGGGGGGGATGCAGAGTGAGGGGGGTGCCACCCCCAGAAGGGTCCCTCCAGCCCGCAGAGGGTCGCTCCGGCCCACCGAGGGCCCTGCGGCTGCTCCAGCACCGGCGGCAGGGCCTGGAGTTCCGTGTGGGATCGGGGTCCCCACGGGGCCCCTCACGTGTGCGGGCAGGTGCGGGGCCGGGGGAGCCGAGGGGGCCGGGCAGATGCGCCGGGGCTGCTCCGTCCCCCGCCAGCTGCCGGGGACCCCGGGGACAGCCCGGGAGGCTCGGGGACACCGCGGGGCGGGACAGACAGCGGGTCCCCACCCCGCACGGCCCTCCGGGGATGCCCGGAGCCGCCGGCCCCCCCGGATCATTAGCGGAGGGAAATGAGGGTGTAATTAAGCGGCGCCTCCTGCTCCCGCGGCAGATGGCGGTTACACAACGGGCCGCGGATTAGCGGCGGCCGCCAGTGCCTGGCACCCGGCAGGCACGGCACCGGGGCCGGGGGTACAGCGGCACCGGGGCCGGGGGTACAACGGCACCGGGGCCGGGGGTACAACGGCACCGGGGCTAGGGGAACAACGGCACCGGGGCCAGGGGAACAACGGCACTGGGGCCGGGGAAACAACAGCACCGGGGGGTGTCTGTCCCCTGCATCTCACTTGGAGCCCCCCAGGGCCTGTCCCGGACCTGGCTGCCCCCAGCCACGGCACCCACCTCCCCAGAACACCACGGTCACGACGCCCGGCCAGTGCCCCCAGCATCACTGAGCCACCTTGGCACCGCCTGGTCACTTTGGCACCACTCGGTCACTTCTGGCATCACCCAGACACTTCGGCAGCACTCGGCCACCTCCAGCACTGCCTGGACATCTTGTCATGGCTCGGACACTTTGTCACTGCTGGGCCATCCTGGCACGGCCTGGCCACACTGAAACCGCCCGGACGCCTCGGTACAGCCCAGCCATGTCTGCACCACGTGCCACCTCTGGCACCTCCCGGGCACCCGGCCTCACCTGGCCACCTCCAGCAGCACCTGGCCACCATAGCATTCCCCGGTAACCTTTGTCACCGCTTGGCCACCTCTGGCACCACCTCCAGCATCACCCGGTCAGCTCCCACCCACCCCGGGGCCCTCCACAGCCCCCAGGGCTCACCGCGTCACCCGTGTCACCTGTCCCCCGGTCCGGGTCTCACCTGAGTGACCTTCTCGGTGACGTTGTGGGTGCGGTCGCGCAGTTTGGTGGGGGCGATGATGGGCCGGGGGGCCGGCGGCGGGGCCAGGAGCCCCCCCGGCTGCAGGTCCATGAAGTTGAGGGTGATCTGGGGGATGCGGCCGATGGCCCGGAACCGCGCCAGGTCCGAGTCCGACGTGGAGTTGAGCAGCGCGCTGCGCACGGCGGCCACCGCGCCTGCAGGGGACACACCGGCACCGTGCTGTCACACGGCAGGGGCACCGTCACCCGGCACAGAGCCTGGATCCGCGGGGCAGCTCCCACAGCTCCCCTGGGCTCCTGCGGCAGGGGTCCCACGGCACGTGAAGGGAATGTGGAGCCCCAGGGCGGGGACAGACCCCCAGCCGTGTGCCACCAGCCCGTGTGCCACCGGCCCCCCCAGGGGCCTGCAGAGCTGCTCTCAGTTACCTTTAATGTCATTACAATAATTGTCCCTTATCTTATTACCCTTAACGAGCTCTGGGGCCAACGAGGTGACTCGGAGGTGATTCCCAGGGTGACTCCACCCTGTGGCTCAGGGGGCTGCAGGATGGGCCAGGAGCGTCTGGGGTGATTGGGGGGGTGTCCCCAGCCCCTGCTGTGGGGTGGTGGGATGGGGGTCCTCAGGGTCCCTGGCTGTGGCTGCCCCGTGCCCCCAGCCCCGGTGGCTGTGGCTGTCCCCGTGTCCCCAGCCCCGGTGGCTGTCCCTGTGTCCCCCGCCCGGGTGGCTGTCCCCCGTGTCCCCGTGTCCCCACCCCTCTGGCTGTCCCGTACCGGTGCTGGAGCCGCGGTGCAGGCCGGTGCCGGCGCTGGCGCTGGCGTGGCGGCTGTGGCAGCGCTTGTCCCCGTCCCCCTTCATGGCCTCGATGTCATCGACGGACGAGGCCCGGCGGAGGCTGCGGAGGCTCTCCCGGGACCGGCGCTCCCGAGAGCGGCTCCGGGCCAGGCTGTGGTTGGCGAAGGCCAGCGCCAGGCGCTCGGCCCGCGGCGAGGACTGCGTCACCGGCGGCTCGGGGTCCCCCCCATCAGCGCCGCCTCGTCCTCGGGACGGTCCCCGGCTCCGGGCTCCAGCGACGAGGAGGCGTCCTCGGGGCCCGAATCGCTGGCGGCCGGGGCCGGCTCCGTGGCCAGAGGCTCCATGACCCCCGGGTCCACGACCACCACGTCCGGCGGCTCCGGGGGCTCGGGGGGCAGCGACTGGCGGCTGCCCGTGAGCGCCAGCAGCTTCAGCCGCAGGGACCGGCTGCGCCCTGAGAGGGACAGCGCTGGGTCACACCCGGGCTGGGGACGGGGGCAGGAGCAGCTCCACACCCCCACCCGGGGCTGCTCCAGCCACAGGGATCGGCTGCGCCTCGAGAGGGACAGGGCTGGGGCCGGGGGCGGGGTCTGACCCTCTCCTCACGGTGCTGCCACTGTCCCCACGTGCCCCAAAGCAACACCTGGGACGTGGGGCCAGCAGGACACGGGCTGATGCCAGCCTGGTGGCACTGACCCCATTGCCCCTGCAGGAACCCAGGAGGAGGGTGTGACCCGGTGTCCCTGTCCCCATACCCGGGGGTGTCCCTGTCCCCATACCTGGGATGACCTGGTGTCCCTGTGTCCCCATACCCGGGGTGACCCCGTGTCCCTGTCCCCGTACCTGGGGTGACCCCGTGTCCCTGTGTCCCCATACCTCGGGTGACCCCGTGTCCCTGTGTCCCCATACCTCGGGTGACCCTGTGTCCCTGTGTCCCCATACCTCGGGTGACCCCGTGTCCCTGTCCCCGTACCTGCAGGGCCCCAGGGGGCCGGGGTGACCCAGTGGTTGGTGCTGGGGGTCGGGGCCTCCCCGGGCTCAGGCTCCCTCACGGCCTCGAAGTTGAGGATGAACATGATGACGGTGCCATCCTCGTTCTTCACTGGCACCACGTCCACCAGGCACGGGAAGGAGCTGCCTGCAGGGAGGGGGGACAGTGACATGGGGGGTGGCCCCCCCACCCGGGAGGGCACCCCGGCCTGGCCGCAAACATCCCGGGAGACGCTGCCCCTGTCCCAGCTGGGCACCCCCTCCTGGGGAGATCCCTGCTGCCCCCCATTCCTGCTGACCCCCCCTCCTGCCCCCCTGGGATCACCCCCACCTGCCCCCCAACGCTGGCCCCACCAGACAGCCCCAGTGCAGCCCCACCGCGGGGGAAACTGAGGCACGGAAGGGGGGGTGCCCCTTTCTCCCCCCCCAGATGCCGTGGCGAGTCTGTGCGTGGGCAGCGGCGCCGGGGGGGCTCTGGGGGTGCCGGGCAGGGTTAATCCGCTCGGAACTCGTTAACAGCTGGGGCGTTAATCCGGTGCCGCAGCTGGGGGCGGGGGCGGGATTGGGGGTGCTCAGGGCAGCCCGGGGCAACCTCTGGGGGACGGGGGGGGCATCCTGCTGGCCCGGCACCCCTCACCCTAAGGGGACGCAGGTGGGAGGTGCCGGGGGACACGCGGGTGACGCCAAGCACCGAGTCCCGCTGACGGTGTCCCCCCGGCTGGCACCGGGCCCGGCAGCCTGGCACGGCGGGTGCCAGCTGGCACTGTCCCCGCTCCCGTGCCCGCGGCGGGGGGATTCCCTGACGCACGCGGGGCCGCGGGCCAGCACGGGGTGGCACGGGGTGGCACCGGGCAGCCGCGGGGTCCCGGCAGAGCCAGCACTGTGAGGGGATCAGTGCCACCGAGCTGGGGCCGCTGCGGCTCCATCCGCCCCCGCGGGGCCGAGAGCTCCGGTCCAGCTGCCGGTGGGGGCTGCTCCCGGGGCACAGCGGGCACGGGGGGACCGCAGTGGCACAGGGAGGGGTACCCCGCTGCAACGGGAACTGTCCCCCTCGCCCCCCTCACCCTCAGTGCACCATCGACCCCCAGAGCTGCGCCCCAAACCCCCCCTCACCCCCACACTGCACCCCCAGCACCCACACCGCTCCCTGTGACTGCACGGGGCACCGGCACCCCCAAAGTGGGGGGACGCCCCTGGCCCCCCATCCCTGCTCCCCCATCCCTGCTCCCCCCACTGCACCCACTGCCCTGGGACCCACACCCCGCTCCAGGAGCCACCTGCACCCCCAGCCCTGCACCAGGCTGGGGACACCCCTCTGACACGGGGGGGACCCGCACCCCGAGGTGTCACAGTGACAAGGCCCCGATTCAGCCCTTGGTGCCCCCGCCCCGGTGCTCCCCCGTGGCCCAGGGGCCACGCACGGGGGTCCCCAAAGGCCGCCGGGGGTGCCGGTGCCCCCTCCCTGTCCCCGGCCAGCCCGGGGTCCCTGAGGTGTCCCTGTGGGGACACAGGTGCCCCACGGGCGCCGTGACCTCCGCGCGTCCCCGGCACCGTAAACAACACGTCGCAAAGACAAATGGCTGCAGCAGCAGCAGCAGCAGCAGCAGCAGCAGCAGCAGCAGCGCGGAGCCGCGGCGGCTCCAGGGCTCCACCGCGGCTCCAGGCAGCAGGACACGGCACCGGGCACCGGCACAGCCCTGGGGCTCGGGGCGGGGGCTGCAGGCTGCCGGTGAGCACCACGGCACGATCCCGAGGGCACCGTGGCATGGCAGCGACACCGGGGGCACCGGGAGTCCCTGCCCACGGAGCCTGGGGGGCCCAGGGCAGTGAGAGGAGCCCCCAGCACCCTCACACCGTGGCTGGCAGCACGGGGAGGAGACCCCCGCGGCGGCATCACTGCAGCCCCCAGGGCCGGCACCCCCTGCAGCACCAGGACCCCCAGAGCCAAGGGTCCCTGCCCATCCCAAGGGACAGACGGACCCCATGGACTGCCCCTGTCCCGGTGGGGGCTCCCAGAGCACCCCCAGAGCCCCCACCACACTTACCCTTGGGCCCCACAGAAGCTCCCAAGGGCTGGCAGGGGCAGGGACCCCTCATCACCTCTGGGACCCCCCTTTCCCACCTCTCCCTGGCAGCAGACGGGGGCTGGTAAGGAGTGAGACCCCCACGCTGCTCAGGGGGTGTCGAGGTCTCTGGGGACCCAGGGAAGGCCCCAGGCAGGAGCCCCCTTTCCCCCAGCCCTGTGGCACCCGGCAGGCTGATCAGTGTCACCCTAACGAGGGCACAACACGGCTCCAGGGGGGCACCCGTGTCCCCCCTGTGCCCCAGAGCCCCGGCACCGCAGAGTCCAAGGGGCACAGGGGCGTGCCAGGCACAGCCGTGCAGCAGGGTGGGGGTCCCAGGGCCGGGAGGGGAGCCTCTGGCCCCGGCCCACCCCACAGGGCTCTGCTGGGCGCTGTGGCCACGCCGGCAGCTGGCACCGGCTTTGTTTACTCCAGCACCGGAAGCGGGGCCGTGTGCCCAGAGCGGGGACAGCTGTGGTGACAGCCGGGACACCTGGCACTGGCACGGGGCCACGCGGAGGGGAAGCACCGGCACCACCAAGGCGGGAGCCAGCCCTGCCCGGGCTCTGCGGGGCACAGCTCCCCCCTCCCGGCACAGGGACCTCGGGATGCCGCCTGCCAGGGCGTTCCACACAACGCCGCGGGGACGGTGGCACTGTGACACCAGCTCAGCCCGCTCCAGGTGACACGGCCCCCCGCACCCCCGTTTGTGGGGATCACCGCACCCCACAACCCAAAACCCCGGACCCACGACACGTGGTGCCTCCCTGGGCCCACCTGGCGGCCACCGTGGTACCAGGAGGGGCTGAGGGCTCGCAGGAGGCGGGTGCCCGTCTGGAGCCACCAGCGCCAGGCTCGCACCCTGCTGGGAGCCACCGCGGGGCTGGAGAGCGCTGCGAGCCCCCGGGGCTGCCAGGGAGCCCGGGGTCCCACCTGTGCCAGCATCTCCTGCCACCCAGCCGTGTCCCTGTGCCCGCATCTCCTGCCACCCAGCCGTGTCCCTGTGCCACCATCTCCTGCCACCCAGCCGTGTCCCTGTGCCCGCATCTCCTGCCACCCAGCCGTGTCCCTGTGCCACCATCTCCTGCCACCCAGCCGTGTCCCTGTGCCAACAGCCCCTGCCACCCAGCCGTGTCCCTGTGCCCGCATCTCCTGCCACCCAGCCGTGTCCCTGTGCCCACAGCCCCTGCCACCCAGCCGTGTCCCTGTGCCACCATCTCCTGCCACCCAGCCATGTCCCTGTGCCAGCATCTCCTGCCACCCAGCTGTGTCCCTGTGCCAGCATCTCCTGCCACCCAACCGTGTCCCTGTGCCGCTATCTCCTGCCACCCAGCCGTGTCCCTGTGCCCACAGCTCCTGCCACCCAGCCGTGTCCCTGTGCCACCATCTCCTGCCACCCAGCCGTGTCCCTGTGCCCACAGCCCCTGCCACCCAGCCGTGTCCCTGTGCCCACAGCTCCTGCCACCCAGCCGTGTCCCTGTGCCACCATCTCCTGCCACCCAGCCATGTCCCTGTGCCACCATCTCCTGCCACCCAGCCGTGTCCCTGTGCCCACAGCCCCTGCCACCCAGCCGTGTCCCTGTGCCACCATCTCCTGCCACCCAGCCGTGTCCCTGTGCCACCATCTCCTGCCACCCAGCCGTGTCCCTGTGCCCCTGTCCCCAGCCCAGGCCCCCGGGGGGTCAGTGTCCCCCTTGCCGCGGTGCTCAGCGCAGCCCGCTGTCCCCGCTGTCCCCGCTGTCCCTGCTGTCCCCGCTGTCCCCCAGGGCGGGTCCGTACCATCCTTGCGGTAGAAGCAGATCTCCACCTTGCGCTCCTCGGCGCCCAGCAGCGCCTGTGCGATCTGGGCGGCGGCGCGGCGCTGCGTGCGGGGCCCGTGCAGGAAGTCGCAGGTGCTGGGCTGCTGCATCACCTCGGCCCGCGAGTACCCGCAGAGCCGGCAGAAGCCCTCGTTGCAGTAGATCACGGCGCAGTTCTCCACTCGCGCGTTCCCGATGATGAACTTGCGGCCTGGAGGGACAGGGGGGCGCGGGTCAGGCCGGAGCCCCCGCTCGGGGGGTCCCCCCTACCCACCCATGCACCCACTGCTCTGGGTTTCCCAGGGACACACGCCATGAATCATCCTGCTGGTTCCCCAGGGACCCCCTAAGCTGGTGCCATCACCACCATGGGGACCCCAGAACCGCTGGGATCCCTCCATCATAGGGACCCCAAACCACGGGGACCCAGGGGCTCCCAGCACAGCAGGGACCCCCCAGGAGCAGGGCCCCAACAGCTACAGACACTTCACAGGGACCCCCCAACAGCTACAGACACCCCACAGGGACCCCCCAACAGCTACAGACACCCCACAGGGACTCCCCAACAGCAGGGACCCCCCAACAGCTACAGACACTTCACAGGGACCCCACAACAGCTACAGACACCCCACAGGGATCCCCAACAGCAGGGATCCCCAACAGCTACAGACACTTCACAGGGACCCCACAACAGCTACAGACACCCCACAGGGATCCCCAACAGCAGGGATCCCCAACAGCTACAGACACCCCACAGGGACTCCCCAACAGCTACAGACACCCCACAGGGAGCCCACAACATCAGGGACTCTGGGACCCCCTCATCACCACAGGGACTCCCACAACTGCAGAGACCCCTTAGGGACACCACTACCACGGTGACCCTGGGACCCCAGCACCCCGCCCTGAGGGCAGCGGCTCAGCCAGGCCAGACCCCGAGCACAGCCTGTCCCCAGCAGGTGACAGCCCCAGCATCCGCCCACATCCCTGCCCTGTCTCCAGTCCGGGGGATGCCCAGGGCCTGACCTCAGAGAGGCGCTGGGAACCCCCCGATTTTCAGTCTCCCGGAGCCCCCACTCTGCCAGGTCGCCCTGCAGCAGCTGCTGGGCAGTGTGGGGGGGCACAGGCCAGGGGGACCCCCAGTCCCACAGCAGCCTGAGCTGGTGCTGGGGGCTCCACACCTCGGGGACTGGGGAAGGCCCAGTTCTGGCAGCCCAGAGCCGGGGGCTGCTGGAGGTCAGGGCGCGCAGGAATCCCCCACCAGCCAGGTTTGTCCCAGTCACCCCAAGCCCACCCCGAGCTGGGGACTCCGGGACGCCAGGGCGAGCAGGGTCCCTCCTGCCGGGCTCGTCCCTGTCACCACAAACCCACCCGGGGCCACTGTCCCCTCGCTCCCCTCCCCTCCCGGTGCTCCCCGGTGTCTCCCGATCCCTGCCCCCGCGCGGATCCCCCTCGGGCCCCCCAGCTCCCGGCCCCGGTGCCCCCCGGCGCCCCCCACTCACTCTGCCCCTCGAACTTGCGGATGATGGTGTCCAGGAAGGTGTTCTGGGGGGCGACGTGCCCCCGCCGCACCGGCATCGTGCCGGGCCCATGGGCAGCGCCGGCGGGGCGGGGGGGCCGGGGCCGGGGGGGCCCCGCGCCGCGGGGGGTCCCGCTGCCCTTGAGCCAAGGACGGCGCCGCTCCGGGGGGGCCCCGGCACCGGGGGGGCCCTCCCGGCCCGCGGCCGGACCCCGCCCGCCCCGGCGCGGTGCTGCGGGGCCGGGGGGGTCCGGGGCGGGGAGCCGGAGGGGGGCGGCGGGGCCGAGCCCCCCCGCGCTACCCGCCCGGTGCGCGCCGCGCCATCGGCCTTATTTAGTCACGGAGCGGCCGGGGGGGACCGGGACCCGCCCCGCGCGCTCGCCGCCGCTCGGAACAGCTCGGAACGGCTCGGCTCCGCTCGGAACGGCTGGGCTGAGCTGGGCTCCGCCGGTTCGGTGCGGCGGGGTTCGGCCCGCTTCGGTTCGGTTCGGTTCGGTTCGGCAGGGTCGGCTCGGCCCGGCTCGGTTCGGCCTGAGCTCGGGTGGGCTCAGCTGGGTTCGGCGCGGTTCGGCCGGGTTCGGCTGTGCTCGGCTGCACTGGGTTCGGCCGGGCTCGGCTCGGCTCGGCTCGGCCCGGCCCCGTTCAGCTGCGCTCGGGCGGGCGCGGCCTGGTTCGGGCGGGCTGAGCTCGGCTCGGCTCGGCTCGGCTCGGCTCGGCTCGGGCTGGTCCCTGCGCTCGGCCCGGCCCGGCCCGGCCCCGCGGGCGCGGCGGGCGCTGCGTGTTGACAGCGGGGCCGGGGCGGGGCCAGCGCGGGCGCAGCCAATGGCCGCGGGGGGGCCCGGGACCCCCGCCCCGCCCCGCCCGGGGGCGCCCAGCGCGCCCCTTGGCCACGCCCCGCCCCGGGCACGCCCACCGGCACCGGGCCACGCCCCCTCCCCGGATCCCCGCAACGCCCCGCGACCCCCGGGGGACACTCCGGTCACAGCCCCGCTCTGCAACGGGGCCACACACCCGGACGCGGGGACACCGCGACACGGGGACATGAGGACATGGGGGCATGGGAACACTGGGTCACCAGGACATTGGGACACACGGACATGGGTACATTTAGACACCAAGACACCAGAATAAAGCACAGTGGGACATCGTGACACTGTGACATCGGGATGTAGGGACACTGGCACAGCAGGACAGTGGGACACGGGGCCATGTGGGGCAGCAGCAGAGCTTCCCGGCACAGCCCCAGCTGGGTCCTGGGGGAGCCTCCCCGTCCCAGTCCTGCCATCCCAGCCCAGCCTAACCCATTTCCCAGGCTAGTTCCAGCATCAGCCCCAGTACCAGTCCCAGACCAGCCCTTGCCCTAGGCCCGATCCCAGCCTAATCCTAATCTCTATCCAATCCTAATTCTAGTCTCTGTCGTAGTCCTAGTTCCTGTCCCACTCCCAGTCCTGTCCAGTCCCAATCTCAGCCCAGACCTCATCTAGTCCCTGTCCTGTTCAGTTGTGGTCCCAGTCCCAGTCCCAGTTAAATCCTAATCCCAGTCCCCTTTCCAGTCCAGACCCAGTCCAGTCTGGTCCCAGTATCAGTCTCCATCCAGTCCAAATCTCAGTTCCAGTCCAGTCCAAGTCCAAGTCCCAGTCCCAATTCCAGCCCTTTCCACTTCCAGACCAGTCCAGTTCCTTCACAGTCCAATGCAATCCCAGTTCACTCCCAGTCCGTTTCTGGCCCTATCCTGGTCCCAGTCGCAATCAGAGACCAGCCCCAGTCCCAGGGTCTCGGTCCTGTCCCAGTCCAGAGCAATCCCAGTCCCAGTCACGGTTCTTGTCCCAGTGCCGATCCCAGTCCCACGTCAGCCCAGTCCGGTCCCAGTTCTCTTCCGGCCCTGGAGTCAGTCCCGGTCAGAGCCCCGTCCAGCCCAAGTCCCGGTGCCGGTTCCGCGCCGTCCCAGCCCGGTCCCGGCCTCAGTCCCAGCCCGGCGCTGCCCTGGATGCTCCCGGTCTCTGTCCCAGGTGCTGAAACTGGCTCCGGGCCGGGGCCGCGACCGCCGAGACTGAGCGGACCAACCGGACCCGAACGGCCCCGAATAGACCGACGGAACCGGCTGGTCCGGCCGGGCTGGCTCCGCCAACCGGACCCGACCGGACCCGGCCGGTCCCGACCCGACCGGCTGGACCGACCGGCTGCGAGCGGCTTTCAGTGGCCACGAACGGACCCGAACGGGCGCGAATGGACCCGAATGGACTGACCGGGACCGACCAGACCCGAATGGACCGACCGGACACAAATGGACCGACCGGACCCGAACGGACCGACCGGGACCGACCGGACACAAATGGATGCACTGGACTGACCAGACCGACCAAGCCGACCAAATGTGACCGGACAGAGCAGACCCAGCAGGGCTCAGCCGAGCCAGGCGGGGGGTTGTGGGGTACGGGGGCGTTGTGGGGTGCGCGAGGGTCTGTGGGGTACGGGGGGTTCTATGGGGCTGTAGAGTACGGGGGGGCTGTGGGGTGCGATGGGATCTGTGGGGCACGGGGCGGCTGTGGGGCGCGGGGCGGCTGTGGGGCGCGGGGGGGCTGTGGGGTATGGGGAGATGTGGGGTACGGGGAGATGTGGGTACGGGGGGTTCTCTGGGGCTGTGGGGTACAGGGTGTCTGTAGGGCACGGGGGGATGTGGGGTGCGGAGGGGTCTGTGGGGTACGGGGGTCTGTGGGGCTGGACGAGGCCGTGGCACGGGGGAGGCTGTGGGTTTGGAGGGGTTATGGGGCGGGGGGAGCTGGGGGGTGTCAAGGCCTGACCCTCATCACCCCCGCCCGCCCGTGACCGAGTCCCGCCCCCGGGCAGGGCGGGCGATCCGGTGGCTGCTGTGCCGTGACCGACAGGCCTGTCCCGCCCCACGGCCGCGGGGGCGGCGGCCCGGGATCCCCCCGATGGGGCGATGGAACCGCACCCCGTGTCCCCCGGGGGTCCCGGCTGTGCCCCCGTGCGGTGCCCCGGGGCCGCCCCGCGCCTCCCGGTTTCCCCGCCCCGCTCTCCCCCGCAGGAAGGAACCGCCGGGCCGGCACCGGGCGCGGTTTCCCGTCGCTGCGTGAGCTGCGGGCTGCGCCCCTCCTCGACCTCCGGGGGTCTCACCCGCCGGGATTCGGGGCACCCCGCACCCCAACAGCACCCCCGTCCCGGGGCTCCCACCCCGCGACCCCCGCGACCCCCGCCCCACTCCGGGGTCACCGTAGGACCCTCCCCGCCGGCAGCTGGGGTGAGCCCCAGGTCCGACCCCCCTGGGGTCCCCCCGGGAGGGTCGCGGGCTGCACCCCCCCCCCCCCCGCCTGGTTCCCCCAGGGGCGCTGACCCGGGGGTCCCCGGCAGCGCCCAGCGCGTCAATGGCCGGAACTGGGTGGAAGCAGCGGGAAGTGGGGGGGTCCCGCAGGACATCCGCCCCACGGCCGGGGGGCTGGGGGCGGCCCGGGAACCCCCCGGGGCACCCAATCGCCCGGTGAAAAGGTGGGGGGGGGGTACAGTGTCCTGTGCCCAGAGTGGGGGTCCCTGCCACCACCGCGGCCCCCCAGGTGCTGTGTGTCCCCCATGAGCGTTGTGTCCTCCCTCTGGGTGCCATCGCTGTGTCACAAGGGTGCCATGTCCACCCCAGTGCCATGTGTGTGTTCCCCGGCGCCACGTGTGTCCC